GCAAGCACAAAAAGAACTGAAATCGGAGTGATATATCAACATATACATAAGTGGAAATATAAACAGGAAACCAACGAACATCGATAAAAACAAAAGCGGTTCATTCATTCAACATAAAGCGTACAATTTTGTCAAACAAAATAAATTACAACACATCTCAAGAAGAGAGATTATCATGATTTTGTGAGGCTTGCTCGGTTTCAGCATTGGAGTCGACAAGAGTCTGCTCGGAGGTAAGCTCGGCTGGCTGCTTGACTTGTTGACTCAAGCCAGAGGTTGATTCGCCGCTGTCCGATAGTGGTCGTCGACGGAGAGATTCGGACATGGCCAGCCTCATGGAGGTCGGAAGAGTTACCCCGTCGGGCAGCATAAAATTTCTCTTCAGAATATCGTCCTGATTCACGGTACGACCGAGGAGGCCCGACAACCACTCGTGATTGAGTGGTAAGTCGAGATCGCTCTAGAAGCCAGCTGGAGTCTTGGGAAGAGCGTCCCAGATAGCTTCCACATTGAACTACTCGAAATCGTCCTCAGCTATTTGTTCGCCTGCCTTCTGCATGATGGACTGGAAACACTGAGTGCCATACGCTTGCACCTCCATCAGATATTGTGGTGACTGCTTGAAGGTAGCCACCACTTGGTCGCAGTACTCTTGGAGGAAACGCTGCCCTGCAGTGGTATGCCACACCATCTGGCGAGCTCGGAGGGCAACTTGATTGACCAAATTTTTTCTTTGTTGGTCGAAAGCAGTTTTCTCGCGCCCCCGAGCTGCTTTTTCCGCCTCGAGCGTAGCCTCGAGAGCCTTCTTCTCCGCTCGCTCAGCCTCGAGCGTCTCCTCGAAGGCCTTCATAGCCCCCTCAAGGGTCTCTTTATTGGCCTCGAGGGACTTTTTCTGCACCGCCTCCTCCTTCAGTCTCTCACGAAGCTCGTGATTTCGATGAACGTGGTCGTCCAGCTTATTCCAGAGGAAGAAGGATCCCTGCTCGATCGCAGGGATAGATCGGCTGGCACTGGACAATGTCTGGTCGATCATGGGAGCCAGCTCGACCATTCCCTGAATTCATAAACAGAGAAAAATAGAAATGCATCAGCGACCAAAGAAAAAAAGCGAGGAAGACAATACTAAAAGTTTGGAAAGTTACATGTGCTAGCCACATGGCGATACAGTCACCTCGGTCATGAAGCGTGGTGTCATCGTCGCGGAGATCCTAAAACGGAAGAACATCCTTAAGAAAGGATGATACTTCTGTGCTGCTAAGCTTGATCAGCGAGAGCATGGGGGGCGTGTGACACCGGTGGTCTCCTCAAGCTGAGGACGCTTATTATGTCCCTCATTATCTTCGAGGAGAGGGCGCTTTAGTTGTGCTTCTGCGACCAAGGCGGCGTTCACGGAAGCATGAGTTTTAACCAGAGAAATGGCCAAATCATTCTGGAGAGAAGCAAATGTTTGTTCTTCGACCACTGGCCCGGTCGAATCGGCCAATGGTTGCTCTTCGACCTTCTTGGCTGTATCGGTCGGATGGATGGGAGAAGAGAGAGGATGTTGATTGTCTGTAGTGGCCGGTTGTGATGTTTCCTCAGTTACGGGAGGGTTGGTCGTGGAAGGGATAGAATTCTCCCCAACAAGGGGCGACTGGCCTGACACATTCAGAGTTTCGACCTCCATGGAGGAGGTCGAATGATCGAGCGGTATGGTGGTCGAGCCAGAAGGCCGTGAGCCTGAGTCCTGTGTAGGCTTCTTCTTCAGAGGGACCCTCCTCTTTGGCAACGGAACAGCAGACATCTCTGTGAGGAGAAATCACAAAAGCAAGTAAGCAACATAACTAACGATCTATATGAAAGTACAAACACAGCAATATTCGACCAAAATACCTAGATCGTCCTTAATTCAGATAGAATCGAAGGTTTCTTGAGTAGGGGGAGATAAAATTTGTGGGTGAGAAGGCCGAAAAATGTAGGAGGTTATCGTTTTCGAGGAGAGTTTTTGAAGCGACCGGTTTGGAGTTCCACACGGCAATGTGTTGGTCGAAAAGAGAGTTTTGAGGAGGGTTCTGGAGCTCAAATTTGAGCTCTTTGAGCCAGGGGGTAGACGCCCAACGAAAAGCGGTGTCAGGCTCAACAAACACAAATCTATGCTTCCACTTGGGAACGTTAGAAGGGTGTCAGAAATGAAGTGGGCGTTGTTGCGACTTTTAAGATAAAGCCCTTGGGCTTGTTTAGAGGGCATATAACAATAGTGGAAGAAGGCCAAGTCGAATCGACCAAGGCGGATATGGCAAAGGATAACAAAGGTTGTTATGAAGCGGATAGCAGGGGAAGCTGGTTCAGAGGAAGACCGAACCATTCGTAAATATCGATCACGTCTTGGCAGAGAGGGAAACAAATGCCAAGTTTAAACTGGATCTCGAAGAAGGTATAACAGTTTTTAGGAGGATGTCGTAAGTGTCCTTAGAGCCAGGGGACATGAAATCCCAGCCAGCACGATGACCGACATCATCGACGTCTAGCCATCCTGCTATAAGAGAAAAGGAAGAAGCTCTCTTCGAAGAGGAGGGATTAGTCGACTTTTTCTTCTGAACAGGCTTAGGAGAAGTATCAGGTGGGGAAGATTTGGATTTAGATTTAGAGGTGGCCTCTGTTTTAGGTGTGCTCGATAAAGGGAGTTTGGAAGGAACAGAACGCTGGGAAAGCGGAATGTAGTCCTTACTTTTATCGCGAGCTGCCTCAGCAGCATCGAGATCTGATTCAGTAGCATCGTAGGGACCAAAGATAGGTCGGCGGCGAAGAGTAAGAGGGACATGGTCGAGAGTGTCCTCATCTGATTCATTGATTAGACGATGAGTTGGGGCGAGGAGAAGGCATAGAACAATCGGAAGGGTGAATCGCGTTGAGGGGAACAGGATTTGTAAATCTCCTCAACAGAGCGGGAAGGAGAATGAGGAATAGGGCGTCGAAATGGAGGCGAGGACCGGATAGTCGTGTCTTCGCCGAAATGGTGGTTGTTCTCACTGGAAGCAGTGGAATATGAAAGATAAGGAAAAGATGTTAAAGGGAGAACCTTTAAGGTTTTCGAAGATGAACAAAGAATGAAAAAATAGGAAAAATTTGGGGGATAAGGTGTGAATGAAATTTTGAAAAAGGAAAATTGACAAATTGGAAAAATAAAAAATCCACAAAGGCAAAACACACAGAGATAAGGTATAGAGAACTTACTCATGATTGCAGTGAAGGGAGAGAGTCGCCGGAAAGCTTGAAAACGTGGAGACGATGAAATTGAAAGCACCGAGAGTAGGAAAGCTTAATTTGCAGAGGGAGAAATTAGGGCATAAGTATGTTCGAATTTTGCAAAAGTGAAAAAGTCGAAAAATCCTAAGTGTGGATATTTATATGTGGAAAGAAAGGATGAAATGAAAACTTAAGGGGAATAGCCGTTAGATTAAAGTGAAATCTAACGGTTGGGAGAATTTAAGAAGCGCAGATAACGAAGTGGTGCGGATCGCGAGGAGACGTGATGATTGATGCAACTGACAAATGGGACGCGTGGCAGAATAAAGTTGTATTAATAATGAAGGGAAAAGAAGGGCGGTTAGAAATTTACCACAAAATCAGCCAAGTGGTCGAAAAATAGAGATGAAAACAGCTAGATAGTCGAGGTGTCAATGAACCGAGGAAGCAAACAAAAATTCACTCTTAGATCGAGTCATTTAGACTCGACCAGAGTGGGGGGGACTAGATGATATAGGATATTATATACCTGAAGGAGTAAACCGGTCCACTACGCCGGCCGTACGAGTCTAATATCAAAAATACCACACTGGTCGAGCAATAGCAGGCTGAAAGGTAGTGGTCGAATAGGGTGATAGATTTGGTCGAAGATCGACCTACTGAAGGAGAGATCATCGGATCGACCACCCCGCGAGTGAAGAGCAATTGGGAGCGTGATCCAGACGTGAGGAAGCGCATGAGCTTCCTAGGGAATTTTCAAGGAATATTCAAGGGAATAATTACCCCATGTGCAGAGGACACATGGCGAGGACACATTGGAGCGCAGTGATAGTGGCGATAACCACTTCTGACACACACACACACATACTGTGTGTACGGACGGACAGATCCGGGCAGCTGTGGGCAGACAGCTCATCAAATCCGGTGCAGCTCCTAGTGCAGATATCTTACCCTTTTATACATGGGGGTGAGCCTTTTTTGTCACACACGATTTATCCATTTTTACTCTTAAGAATTGAGTGAAACACATACTGACTTAAGCATCGAAAGTTCTTCACCGGAAAACTCCTCCGGTGTGGGAGTTCTTTGTAGGTACGCGGCGTTCTACCGGCGAGGAGGAGGAGAACGAGCCGATTTCAAGTCGGTCGCAGTGTTTTCCGTTACCAATAGGTACATTGTATTACACGTTGATTCCATGTTTCTAATTTATAAATATTATTTAATGAGAATTTTTAATTTATAAATATTAATTAATATTTCTTTCCCATGTATTACAGGATTCGTACTAGTTGAGTTAAAATTGAATTAAATTTTGAATAAGAATTGAACATGGATTGAGAAAAACTTCTACCAACACACCTAAAGAAGAATTTATGTTTCGTTAGATCCCAAATTAGACTTAAAAATGAGTTGATAGATTCCCAAAGACAAAGTAGTAATTTAAAGGCAACAAATATAATTAGATAAGGAAATAGCACAACCACGTCATCGATCCTGATTTCACTGTTGGAAAAGAATTTGAGCCACTGGATCTCAACCAAAAGGAGAATCCCCAGCCGTAAGATCCACGAAATAAAAAGTAAATCTTATTTTATATTTTATTATTTATTTCTTTTCCTCGAATTTCTTGGCCCAGCTCCGATCTGCTTACCCTTTTATAACCCTTTTACCTCTCGGAAAATTTCACATCCAATTTCGTCTTGTTCGCCACTTTCTCACTGAATTTCTTGTGAAATTAGCTTCAGCTTAGGTTGGTCAGTTAATTAGTTTAGGGTATGGCGAGTGAAGAAATTCATGGATCCGGATTTGTTCAGGCGTCGGTGCCTCCGTCCACCCTGCCCCAGTATCCAGAGGAAAACAAAAAAAAAAAAAGCTCATCTTCTTTGGCCCTTATCAAATATTTTTCTACATGTTTTGTTTAATTTGCTCCTGTACATAGAATCCTTGTAAATTTTTACTATTTTTATATGCCCACCAATTTTTCCCATAAAAGTGATTTTTTCAGAATGTAATTCTTCTTCTTTTTAGATGATTATGGCAGCAATTAAAGCTCTAAACGATAAGAACGGGTCAAACAAGTCATTAATCTCGAAGCACATCGAGGCCACCTATGGGGATCTGCCGGCGGCGCACTCCACTCTGCTAACCCACCACCTCAACCGGATGAGATCGACTGGCCAGCTGCTCTTCATTAAAAACAACTACGCCATACCCGACCTAAGTGCACCACCTCGCCGCGGCCGGGGTCGCCCCCCTAAGCCCAAAACCCCCCTGCCGCCGGGGACCGTCCCCCAGCCGCCTCGTCCGCGTGGCAGGCCTCCCAAATCCGCTCGGGATCCGATGGCTCCGCCGCCGCCGCCGCAGCCCAAGGCGACGGCCACGGTAGGTACACTCTCCGGGAAGAAACGCGGCCGGCCGCCGAAAGCTTCCACAGGGAATGTGGCTCCGCACTCTCAGACCACTGGGGGTGTGCCTCGCGGGCGAGGTAGGCCGCCTAAAGTGAAGCCAGCTGCGACTGCGCCGGTTGGGGCTTGATTGAAAGACGAGAAGTTAGTGTAAGGGCTTTAGTGATAATTTGTTTGTC